GCCCCCGCGCCCCCTCCCGCAGCACGCCGGGCCCGCTGTGGGTGTCCCCAGAACTACCGTGGCGGGGATGGCTGCCCAGCCAGCCCGTCCCCTCTGGCGTAGCTGCCAGGGACAGCCCGGTGCTGCGAGAAACGGTGCTCATGTTCAGCATTTCCTCCAAATATTCCGCGTGTGTCGAGGGGCTTCGAGTCTCCGCGTTCCCAGGCTCTGCAGGTCACATCGCACAGGAGGGTTTTTGGGTGCTGGAGGATGAGTATGGCCTTTCTGTGCGCCCAGCTCTGCTCCGCTGTGCAGGGTGCACCGACACGGTGTAAGGGGTTTCGGGCCATTCGCGTTCGTGCCAGCGGCTGGGCTGTGGTGTAGAGCAGGGAGAGCCTTTGGCGTCTGGTCCTCGCTTCCAGTCGTCCGCGAGGCTGTCGCTCACGGGCTCGCTGCGAGAATTGCTGGGGTGAACGTCTCTTGGTCTGCGTTGTGAATCCAGCTGGATGGCCAGAAATGCCCCGTTCGGCGTCAGAGCTGTGGGTCCCGCCGACTAACTCGTCGTTTTGTTGGGGAATTTCAGCAGAATGAGAAGCGTCAGTCGCTTCAGACCTCCGGTAAAGCTGGAACTGGCACATGCAAGAGTCGTTTACGTTAAGCAGAAACACAAAATGCAAATTATAATCCAGTAAGCATATTTTCGTATTTGAAAACCCCAAACCCCTTATTTTTCCATTTGAAGGAATCAAGTAAGACCCTATAATCCAATCTAATAAACCCCAGCCGGATTCTCTGAGCTGTGCTGCTCACTGCTACTGTTTCATAAAAGTGTTTAAAAAGCAACTGGGGAAAGAACAAAAGCCAAAGCAAGGCAGGAGACCAAGTGCAAGGGGACCTGGGCAAGTGCTGCTTTCCAGCTGGTTTGAAAGCCAAAAGCTCAGGGAGAGTTTGTAAATGAATTGGAAATTTATTCCAAGTTGATGGAGCCCTTGATTGAAAAGACACTGAATCATGTTATTAATATGCTCAGGTCTCGGGTTTTTTTAATTCTCTGTTTTTTTCTTTCGGTGGAAAGGCTCTGTTCATTAATCTCGGGATAAATAACCCATCAGGTTCCACAGGTACCAAAATACGGATCCCTGGCAGGATTTTTTTTCGTACTTTATGAATAATGATAACATTATACCTGTAATGCAGTCATTTAATGTGAAGTGCTGACTGGCCAATATAGGAAAGTAATTTCCAGCGATGAGCGGTGCGCTGTGTCCCCGTCAGCTGCAGGTTTTTTTTCAGGTGCTGCGAGGTGTTCTTCTGGCTGCGCTGGAATGTTAGGTTCAACTTTCTGGAACAGGTATTTACAGGAGAGGGAGGGAGAGATTCATTTGGGGACTGAATTCAGGGCAAATGAGGAGGGGGGCTGAGTGCCCGGGCGGGTGCGTGGCATGAACGGGTGTCTCTGCGGACGGGGGAAGGCTCGGACGCGGCAGCGGAGCCGCTGGGCACCTCCGCGGTGCATCAGCTCGCTGACTCAGCCACTCGTCCGCGGCGCTCAGCCACCAACACGGAGCAGAATCAAGCCTGATGGGGCTGCACAGGTCACCAGCACTCGCCTGCCCGGGGAATTCAATGCAAATTGCTCTCCGCATTAGCTGCTAAATGAGCCCGGAGGGTCTCGGCCCGTTCCACCGGAGACGAGGCCCCGCTGCAGAGGAACACGAGTGTGCGGACGGACAGAGGACACTGCGCAAATCCTACAGCATCAACAGAAGGGCAGGAGAGAGGAGCTTTGCCTCCAGTTCAGAGAGAGCCAGCAGGCTGCCATAGGCTACAAAGGGCTACGAGGATGAGGAGGGGACTGGAGCATCTCTGCTACGAGGAGAGGCTGAGGGAGCTGGGCTTGTTCAGCCTGGAGAAGAGAAGGCTGAGAGGGGACCTTAGAAATGCCTCTAAATATCTGCAGGGTGGGGGTCAGGAGGACGGGGCCAGACTCTTTCCAGTGGTGCCCAGCGACAGGACAAGGGGCAACGGGCACAAACTGAAGC